CTCCATCACTTACAGGTTTTTCATAAAACGTCATAACGTAATACATAAAGAAAGACCACAACACGTAGTTCTTAGACTAAAAAACTTAGATTTCACAAAAAAAATCAGCATGAATGAGGATGTATATTCGTTTGACATCACTGTTCTTCCCTTTTCTTCAGCTTGTTTTTATATTTGTTAACAAACATAATAATAAAAAATGTTTGCTGTGGTAAAATATATAATAATTTGATCTAAGTAAGAGTTTTTTTTTCTTTCCCAATCTGTAAAAAGTCCGTACGTGATAGAAAAAAATGAATATTATTTTCGAAATCTGCGTAGCTAAATTATGGAAAATTCGTTATTAAAACCAAAACAACTTTTATGAAGCTTAAATTTGCAAGGCTGTGTAATTACTAGTCAATTGTTTGATTGATTGTTTTATAGATAAGCACAAAGCTGCACAAAGAGTTATCTGTGATCCACCCACAACTGGTATCAAAACCCGGTTTATAGCGGTATAAGTCCGCAGACACACCGCTGTGCCACAGGGTGGGGCGGGAGAATTAGTCAGTAGTATTTTTACAGCTTCAATTAAAAATTCCTTAGTAGATCTAGGATGTAAAAGCTCTGGATAACATTCACAGGAATAATTAATAGTTACAATTCCAAGTTTATGTTTACTATTGGATATTAATATGTATGTATTCATATACAGTCTTAAACAGAATCGTACATTGACATACCGTAAAGTGAAATGTCAGACATGGCACACGGACCCCCTAAGGGTTTGCAGACTCCAGTTTCAGAAACGCTGATCTAAAACATTGAAACATTTATTGACAGGATTGTATTTGCTGCTCGTCAAAAATCCTCGCTCTACTCCTCTGACAAATTTGTTCAGTGTGTCCAAGATGAAATTTCATATTACTCAAATCTCACGTTATAGTTATAACGTATGGCACAACAATAACGCTTACGGTGTTTAGTTCCGGAAGAATTAAGTTCTTTATGATGTTGTTTTCACTGTTTATTATGTTTATCTTTGACGTTACAGCGTTGCGAGTTGGCAGTAAACGCCATCTCTTTTGTAAAGATGTCTTTTAAAACGGTAAAATGTCTTACAACAATGTTACTGCGCATAGCAAGTTTTTGAAACATAATGGAGTCACTTAAAGTATTTTATTTCTTGGGGTCAATTTTTAGTATGACAAAATATTTCGATAAAAGGTTTAATATGTTCAGAACTATAGTCTACAACATGCCCAGAACGGCCTCTAATTTTTACGTTAAAAGAAACAGAAATATCGGCAAATTGACAAAGAATTTTTTCGATGACAACATACTTACTTCAATATCAGGAACTGTGTACGAGCAGAGTCTATCAGAGATTCATTAAACTATTAGTCGTTTGAAGTATTCTCAATGTAAGAAAATGCACATCGTGTTCTAATTTATTCTAGGAAACATAAGTAAGAGTTGTTGAAAAATAAGACAGAAGAGAACGATTTCTCAAATTCAACCTCATATATAAAAACGTTACGAGAAAAGAGAGAGAGGTGAAAAACGAATTTTCGCAGCCTTTAACAAAAAGCCTTATTGTTCAGCCTGGCAAGCATGGCGATTCAAAACTTACAGACCTATAACACTGCATATATTCTTTGTGAATATTTCCTTCTCAGACTTTAATGTCCTTCTGCTACATTTACGAGGACACCTGTTGAGAACTCTCTCGTTTGATTCATTCAAAATTTATATGGCTTGTACTTTTTGATTATGTGGTATCTTATTTAGAGATATTGAATATTATCTGACAAATAATGGTACAGACTGTTCTGGAAATAAAACCTCTCAGTTACTCCGTCATATTTGGTTTGAATATACAACCCAAGTAAATTTTTAGGAGAAATGCAGGCTGAAATAAATGGTTAATGATTGGGAACTAGCTAGTTTATAAACAGACTAGAAGTTGGGACTGAAACTTTCTTACTTTATTTTGCCTATTATTGTATTTACCCATTAAAGTATTAGGCAGTATAGATTTTTTATTTTGCCTATTTATCTATTAAAGTTTGTTTGTTTGTTTGTTTTTGAATTTCGCGCAAAGCTACCCGAGGGCTATCTGCGCTAGCCGTCCCTAATTTAGCAGTGTAAGACTAGAGGGAAGGAAGCTAGTCATCATCACGATTTATGCCAAGTGTGTCTCTGTTGTCTATTTTGCATGCATTATTTGTGTCACCTTATTCTATCAAATACTTGAGCACAGCAGGCTGTTGAAGAACATACATATGTAACATGTAGACCTAACAAGGTAAGCATGTTACTAAGTCTGTTTACATTGCATTAATCTGTGTTGTATTATCTTAGAAAAACATTATTCTATTTGATGATATTGCATTGTTGCTGCTCGTCTTTTGTTACATTACACTGTGACATTGATTGAAGCCGGTCATTAAATCTGTGATGATACACTTTTTTGCCTTCAAGAGGGTACTTTGAGAACAACTTTACATTTTGATTGTTGTAGTAGCATTCCTGTATATGTGTGTATCCTCTGTTGTACATTTGTTATTTATTTTGAATAAGTTCAGTGAGGTGGTTGGGTGAAAAAAAAAAGCCAATGCAGCGGTAAAGTGTTGGAGAACATGTAACATTCAACTGAACGCATATGCACGCATGTAGCTTGAAATGTATTCTACATAAGTGGACAGAAAAAATAAAGAAACAAGATAATTAAAGATCGTCAAAAAAGTACCGGAACAAGTTGAATCAAAATGCTTTAACTTGTTCCTACACTTTTTTGACGTTCCCTATTCCCCATTTTTAAATTAACAGCTTTTACTAATCTTGTATTAATATAAAGACAACTGTTGAATGCATTTATGTACTTGGCACACTTGCGACATATATATAAGATGTTAGTGTAGTATACCTCTGGGCTGTATTGTTTTACTATAACATTTATGAAACATTTTACATTACACCATTTATTTTTATGCAAACTTAAATAAAAGACAAGAAAAACCTACGACCAGCCGTGGAAGTTCTGTATCCAGTTTATTCGTAAAATGATGTTATTATTTACCGTGAAATTTCTTGTCTGAGTCGCTTCTAGTTATCACATTTACATCTATACCGTAAATTTGGTATGTATTTCTATTTGTCTTTTGGCTAGATCATACTTACTAGAAAATATATAGAGAGAGTCCCTCGGTAAGACAGCGTTAAGTCTTCGGATTTACAACGCCTAAAATCAGGCGTTTGTTTCCCCTCATTTGACACAGCAGATAGCCCGATGTGGCTTTGCTATAAAAACACACACACAAAGCAGACAAAGAACACTATACACTGCATAGGAGTGATGTGTTTAGATACGTTAAGGATCCTTATTTAGTCTTGTAATATTGATTAGTTTAATTTGTTTTGAAAACAAGTAATTTCCGGGTGATTCTCCTTGCCTTCTGGTGGCAGCCGCTATCTTAAAGCACAGTCGACAGTTGTGCATCAATGCAGATAATTGTCTAACATAACTAATTAATTTTACATAGTATCTGATTCAAGTGACAATATATATGCTGAACAAGCAACGACCAACACCACACGTTCACCCGTTTTCTTACAGAAAGCTAAAACGTAACTTGTTAAATACTTATTCTAAACGGAATCAGTTACTATTTCTGGACATCACGTTGCCACAACATTCCTGTATGACCATTTTTTTCAAACCGTTCAATCGAACAAAGGGAAACATATATTGTATGTTGAGCTAAAAGTACTTCAGTTTCCACTTCTAACGTACGTGTCCTAATGGATTCTAGCTGCAGTTTTTTGTTGGCTGGAAGTTCTATAGAATCGATTTTAAACTTTGCGAAACTCTCTTAGAAATTGTTACCGTCTACTAGATTATCTATTTTTCAGCAAATAAATGTTTCTAGCGAAATCCAAGCATTAATAACGAGCGGTGTATAGAAACCGGAAATATTAACAAATAATAAAGAATTTAAATTTCGTTTTTCTACAGGACCTTCAGGTTTCTATTATCATTTTAAAATCAGAAATGTGTGTTGTTTCCGGTTCGTTGTTAACATACGACTCAAGAAACTAAATTCTTGAAGCTCAAACAAAATAACAATTCCAGAAAGGGAGGAAGAGGTCTACGCTGAACCTGACCCTTCCTGGTCCAAAACATCGACCGAATTCCGATGAAGAAGAAGTATCCCACTTGTAATATGAAAGAGCTTTATGAAATTTGTCGCCTCTATCTTTTACTATATATTTTTGTGCAATTTATTGTAATAATGAACACCTTATTCCAGACTTTCTATATTTCTTTAAGATACAATTGCACTCAATATTGAAAATTGTTTAACAATTAATCAAAGAAGTCATACTATGCTCTTGTTACTGTCTTTTGATACCAACATGAAGACCATTCTTAGGATTATTAACATCAAAATTAATCGTCTGCCCTTCAATATTTTGTTTGATTTTTTTATTTTACAACTTCTTCGTACAAATAATATTACTTTTCTGGGTCTTATAAATAAAGAGAAATATTATCCATTTATGCGTGATATTTTAGTTTTTACAAACTTAAAAATTGTTGTCAAAGTCTTTTATTTGAATTTTAATATTTCCGTGCATTTGGTATAAAAATACAATTCTGGTAGAAAAAATTAAAACTTATAATTTTTTTTTCTCGCTCAAAATATTTGAAATATTTGTATTCTAAAATAACAAACAAGCAGGATATTTAATTGTTTGTAGCAACTATAATGCAGTGAAGACCCAGCCGGGTTTTTTAGAGACTTGAACTACGATTAGTATTGACTTTAGAATATATAGAACAAAATGATCTATCTATTTCTGTACATGATTAACCTCTGAAACGCACTTAGGCTCTACTAAGTTTTCAAGCCCTCCGGTGGCTCAGCGGTAAGTTTGAAGCTGGATTCGATATCTTTATACTTAACAACAAACACATAATTTTGAAATATGGCTTAAACTAAACCTAAGATTCTTTAATATAAAGATAATTTAATATACCCTTTTCACCAAAAGGGGTAATATTATTTTAATAGTAACATCTATAAAAAGATTAAATATAATTTTTAGAAAATAAAAGGTTGGAGACGGCTTGAATGGGTAACGAAGAAAACTTAATTAGAAAATCTACAAAATTATGTCATCATCAGCAATTTTATGGCTAATGTGGCATATTTTATGGCAAATATGTCTAATGGCAAATTTTCTCCATGTATTGATTATTTTTGAACTTATTTCAGGGTTAAATGGAAGATTGGAAAAATGTTGTATTTTTTTGTTGTATTAGTGTCAACAACAGAACGAATTGACTTCAAATTCACTCAAAAACGCGGTCTTAAGCTAAAATCCTCGCTAAAAAAAATTACGTAGAATCACACAATATCAACGTTATTTATAAAATAACGTGCAATAACTATCCAGTATTCTACATCTGAGAAACTGGAAGAAAATTGGAAACCAGATTCACCGAAGGTAATAAAACAACCCTAACATGTTTACCACTATTGCAACACAAAAACCACAGTAATTTAAACAAAGAACCAAACATCAACAAACGCAAAATAAAGGAAGCTACCTTAATTGAACAAAACAACCCTACTCTAAAACAACACCCACAGGTATCGAGATACTTTTACTAAGTTGTTAAGCAACCTCCCGTCATGTGACCTATTAGTTCCATACTGTATATATATATATATATTCCTGTGTTATTGTAAACTACTTGTACCTGATGATGACATAATTTCATCGAAACGTTGTACATTTATAATAAAGTTTTCTTCATTATCCATTCAAGTCGTCTCCAAACTTTTGTTTTCTGAAAAAATGGATTCCTCGTCATCAAATATAATTTTTGTATTTAGCATTACAATTTATTTTGAGACTAGAGACTTCAGTTAGAACTTATTAGATGAAAATTTATGATTTCTTATAGCTTATACTTTGAAACAAGACTACTCATAATTTAATCATAAGTACTTCTTACTTTTTCAACATGCTGCACACATGACCCAATTACAAAACTTGTCATAATGTCACTCATGAAATTTTGAAGCTTTATTTGAAAATAAAGTTAATAGTTATTGTAGTGTAGCAAACTAAACTCGATAAATAATAGGCCCGTTGAAATACTAACTTATGCATAGTCAGAGATTAGGGTGCTGGACTGTCAATCAGAAGGTCTATCGTTCGCGTCCGATTGCCAGATTTGTGTTCGTTATAAGAGTTGCGATTCAGTTAGTTTGTTTGTTTGTTTTGAAGTTCGCGCAAAGCTACACGAGGGCTGTCTGCGCTAGCCGTCTCTAATTTAGCAATGAAAAACTAGAGGGAAGGCAATTAGTCATCACCACCCACCGCCAACTGTTGGGCTACTATTTTACCAACGAATAGTGGGATTGACCGTCACATTATAACGCTCTCATGGCTAAAAGGGCGAGCATGTTTGGTGGGACGGGGATTTAAACCCGCGACCCTGAGATTGCTATTCGAGCGCCATAACCACCTAAACATGCCGGGCCGATTCAATTAGATTAGTTCGTACTTATACGACGTTGGAAACTCTCAGGGGCCAAATAAAGAAAATATTATAACAGTTTTTTGTTTTCTGAAGTCATATCCAAGACTTTTAAAAATACTATGATGATTTTTGTCCTACAAAAAATAGTAAAGTTAATGTTTGTACTTCAGGTATTTATTATTATATTATTCAGAAATGCTTGTCGTGTTTTGGGTTCCGTAAAAGAATATTCACCTTCTCAGCTATTCTCACTTAAAATATAATAATGTATATTGAATGTTTTTAAATATTGAAATAGCTAGTCTAAAAAACAACAACAGAAAAACAGACTGAAGTCCAAGACACAGCAGTTGCTTGAATAAATCAAGTAAAGCCATTCATAAAGATGTAATATTTATATTTATTGTAAATTTTCTTACAAGCACATTCTCACCTCTCGCCTCACTTATGTTCTAACCAATTAAGTTCCACACACTTTACAACAGTTAAAGCGAACATTTAAAAAGTAATAAAATTTCCTATTCAATACACAACAGCATACATGTTTAAATTTAACAAATCATATCATGTTTCAATATCAAAATAAACTTTGTAATCGGAAGTAGCTTTCTATCTTTAAACGCCCATTGCTGATAGATTCCAATAACATTAGAGATAACAGTATAGTTTTGAAAATAACTTTTTTATCGCGAGACCCGCAGAGTCAATTTAAGCTTTGCATTAAAGAATCCTGCTAAAACAATAACATTTCTATGTAATGATTCCGACCACAGTCCTAAAAAAACTTACGAACTGATGATTAAATGGACTTAATTATGTAAATAAAATGACATAATTTTAATAAAAGCATATTAAAAGTAAAACGAAAACATTTGAACAGGTCTTAGTAATTAAATGGTAAACGTATAAGCGCTGTAGTTCCAGAGCATCTTGTTAAGCAATATAGCCCCCCAGTGGCACAGTGGTATGTCTGCGGACTTACAACGCTATAAACCGGGTTTCGATACCAGTGGTGGGCAGAGTACAGATAGCCCATTTTGTAGTTTTGTCCTTAACTTCAAACAAGCAAATAAGCAATATTTTCGAATAAATTATCTTTCTTTTTAATAGCATAATAAAAAAAGTGGAAATAGCACATCGTGACCGAGGGGATAGTAAGTAGTGTATTATTACGTGGACATCGAGTAATATATTATGACTGAGAAAATACTAAGTGATGCATTATGGCTGTATGGACGTCAAGTAGTACATTATGATTGAGAGAACAAGTAGCCTATTATGGTTATGGGGCATAAAGTAATAAACTATGATTGAGGGAACATTAATAGTACATAAAAAAGGGGACATGAACAATCACATTATGACTGAGAAAGCGCCGAGTGGGGGGGGGGAGGCATAAAGTTGTAAACTATATCTGAGGGAACACCAATAGTACATTATAGACGGTGACATGAAGTATTACATTATGTCTGAGAGAAAACCGACAAGCATATTATGACTGTGGAGACTTAACTAGCACATCATAGCTGTAGGGACGTCAAGAAGAACATTATTTAATATATTAAGCAATTCTTAATCCGCCAAACTTAGGATTATATATTAAGAAATGGCTACTCAGAGTCTTTTTCACGCATACAATGTCGTGATGAGAATATGTAGCCTGGACGCAATGTCATTATGAGATATGGTACAAACGCATTGTCATGATAAGAACATATAGTCTAAGCACAGTGTCATGATAACATTACATATTAAACACAGTGCCATGATAAGGATATATATAGTCTAAGCACAGTGTTATTATAATAATATATAGTCTAAACGCAATATCATGATAAGAATATATAATCTAAACACAATGTTATGATAACAACATATAGTTAAACACAGTGACTTGATAACAATATATATAGTTAAACACAATATCATGATAAGAATATATAATCTAAACACAATGTCATGATAACAATATATAATCTAAATACACTGTGTGCTCTTAGCTTGTGTTTTTCATCAGTTTATCTTTCGAACACGAAATAAGATCCTTTCTCAGATTTAGCATAGTCTCTGTTTAAATCCTATAAGATGTTTGTTTCACCGAATTTTGTAGCCCAAGTTTTGTATTCCTACGAAGTTATTTCAATCGATTCTGTTGCCAAGTTATTGCAGGGATTGTGTGCACAGATTAAGGGGAATAGTGTTTATTTACATTCGTTGAGCAAGATCGTACATACTTATTGAATAATTTAAAATACATAGGAGACTGTAGCTTTCTTGATAAGCATTTAAATACAGGATAAAATGAAATATTTTATGTATATATCTATATAAGCCTCAATATCGATTATAGAAAGCTTTCAGTCATGGGTCTTGCGATGAATAGTATGAGGCTAACAAGACTAGCAAAGTTTTTGCTATTCTCTATGTTTTCATCAAATAAGTTAATTTCAATATGCATAAATGTTAAGTATTACAAATAAATGTGTTTATATGTGAACATATAACTGCACATGAATAATTTATTAAAAAGGAATCTGAGTAAATAAAAAGTATATGATTTGAAAACGACTCGAATTTAAAAGCCTGACTATATATTGGTGTTTTCTACCTGAACGACACTTTATGGGCAAATGGAGTAGATGACCAGGTCAGAGACCCATAGCAGGGTCCAAATATAGCTCTCTATTCTGACCTCAGGTAGGACAGCACCCGCCGGTTTCTGGAACCAAATAACGGAATTGACTGCCACTTTTGCAATGCTTTGTTTGTTTGTGTGTTTTGAATTTCGCGCAAAGCTACACGAGGGCTGTCTGCGCTAACCGTCCCTAATTTAGCAGTGTAAGACTAGAGAGAAGGCAGTTAGTCATCACCACTCACCGCCAACTCTTGGGCTACTCTTTTACCAACGAATAGTGGGACTGACCGTCACACTATAATGCCCCCATGGCTGAAAGGGTGAGCATGCTTGGATTCGAACTCGCGACCCTCAGATTACGAGTGGAGTTCCCTAACCACCTGGCCATTCCGGGCCCTTTTACAATGCACACACAAATGACAGTAAGGATTGTGCTCAGCAGCACTGTGGCTCAAACTCTGACCTTTCCAATTAGCATTCAGACACGCTAACTATTAGGCCACGCATAAACCATAAAAAACAACAGGACAATTAACTGGTTCATTTCATTACAATTCGAGAAATATCAATCTTTTATCATTCTCTTACAACTTAGTGCCACGAAGTTAGTGCTATGAAGGATATGGACCTACAAATCTACTAATGTTTTTCTCGACTAAATTAGAATTTTAAAAGTCCCAAATTATAACTTTGATAAACATACAGACATGGGATAAAATCAAACTCGTTGCACATTACGGTATTATTAGCCAGCAATAGAATAGTAAAAACAATAAAAAAAATGACTATTAATAAGTGTGTTTTTGTTGTTTTCTTCGTGTAAAGCTACACAATGGGCTATCTACTCTCTACCCTCCGCGAGAGATCGAACCCAAAATTTTAGCTTTATAATTCCCTAAACTGACTGCTGTGATTAAAAGACAGAATGAAAAGTCTCTAAATACACCGTTAGTTTTTCTTTTGTGTGTGTGCACATCTGTGTTAAATTTATTATAATCAAAAAAGTCGAAATTTATCATAAACATTCTATACAGGACAGATGCAGCTTATAACAAAGATTCATTACGCCTCTCGTCACAGCCTGAATACTTTATTTACAGTTATTTAATATTTAAACAAGGTTTATTTTGAATAGTTTCAGTTTTCCTTTTAAATCAAATAAAAATTGAAGTGTCGTCAGATGTTTAATTTAAAGCAAGACATTTTCTCTAATTTGAGCCCCATTAGAAATTTTTGAAATATGTAATCCTCTTTCAAGGTTATTAGTTTAAACCTCGTGCTTAATGTGATTTTGAGAATGAAAATGAAAATATATAAGTACAAGTTTGGCTTCGTAACGTTTCCAGGGGTATAATTCATTCGTTGAGTGAATTAATTTCTTTCTCGTTAAAGTATTGCCATATTATACTACTTGAATAGGCTAAAAACACTTTCCAAAACACATGATGATTCTCTAAACTTATGTCCTCTTTCTTCAATACTTTGGTTGTAAAGGATATTTTAAAATACGCCATCATATCGAGATAACAATAAAGATTAAAATAGCAGAATGTTTAGAGAGTTGCAACAATGTCGTGAAGGATATTAATACGCGCATGAAGTAATAGTTGCAACAATGCCGTGAAGGATATTAATACACACATGAAGTAGTAATTTCTTATAAAAAAACGACTGAAACATAGTTTGGTGGGTAACTTCTAACAACTTTTGTGTAACACAAATTAATTTTAATTCTTAGTTTTCTTTCGAATAAGCTCAGGGATTATTTGATTGAATTCTTCTCAAGAATGGCTGTTTCGGTGTATCAAAGCTAAGTTCTCATCAAAGTTTGAAAATGCTGAGCTATTGAGCACGTTCTCTGTTACGTTTATTTCATTGATTCTTCTCTTTTCGGTTACCTTTTAAACAAAGCTCCATAAAAAGCTGTAATTGTTAATACGACATATTAAAATAAGTAGGGGTATATATAAACTCTCTATATAATACAGGCTTTCAAAGATTTTACAAAAAATACTACATTAGAAATTTACTCACCGTTATCCGACAACACAATTAAATTTATTTTACCTCTTATTTATATAGATATTTCCAACATTAACAATTTTGTTGTTTTTTGATAAAAAGAAAAATTGTTCGTTTCTTGCGTTTCTTAATGATTTTAACTTTCCAACTTCATTTTCAGTAGAGATACGATGGTTATATGTGACAAACAGAAATTACCGAACGACTTCATACAAGAGTGGCAAATCTTAGGGTTTATGATACTGAGAACTGGATTACTATATCCGCGGTGGGAAAACCACAGATGACTTGTTCCTTAGCTTTGTGTTTAACAACAAACATAGAAAAAATCTTACTAATGCGGTTGGTAGCAGCATGCGTCCTCCGGCGGCAAAAATACTTGATAGGATATAAAACAAACATATTTTTAACTTATGTGTTGTAATTGATGTTTTGAAGATATATTTCAAATATATATCAACAACATTTGCTGTTATAAAGTAGGTATTTCGAGAAGATCGTCACAAAGTCTGTTTAATTAAGAAGTAAAATTAACAATACTTATAGATGTAATTTGCATACTAATTTTCAGATTCCAAGTAACAGCAAATAATCAAAAAACAGAATTGAAAGGCTTTCTCCTGTCGATTTAATTTTACCTTTCTCTTCATTTTTTATCATTTTAAACCTGTAAGAATGTAATTAAACAGTGAAGCTATCAGATTTTTAAAAGTGTCAATTCAAGTACAAAGTTTGGTACTTATTTCATTACTCTAGTTATAAAGTTTTTCCTGTGTTAATAAACCCAGCTATCTTGAATAAAAATTATAAAATAAAGCTAACTTTGATAAATCCTTATCGAGTTTTCGAGAACTTTAAATGTGCTCTACTCGAGTGAAATTAGCGAACAGACAAGTAGGAAGTGTTTACCATGCTATCGAGGTTTGCCAGTTGACTACGCTACATCCCTTCATGACTCATATTTGAACAAACCTGATTTAAACAAGTCAACAGCTTGTTCAAGATGTTGTAGTAGCTTATCATCCAAATGCTATCGAGTATTTCTACGGCAACAAAGTGGTGATATTAGATTCTCTTGGTCTGTTATATATATTCAACAATTCGGATCTCAGTAGTGAATACGAAACCTGGCATAGATTTCACACCAAGATGTTAAGAGAAGCTATTCTTTCAACTCTTCCCTGGGAAAGACGTCAACTAAATGAAGAAGATGGATTTTTTAAATTCATGGTTACAGCTTCTTTAGCTTTGCTCAATGTTTCAGATATGGAGCACTGTGGAAAGTTTTTGAATTTATTCAATGATTCATTTCCTGATGAATTCCTCGAGGCAATGTTCGAGTTTTTAGTGTTTACTGGAAAGCAAACTCAAGGTTCAAAGTGTGCGGATCCAAAATGGGCGGTTCTTCCTCTCCCAGTGACTTGGAAGGTGTTATTTGTCATGATACTCAGCATTTTATTTGTTACATCGTTGCTAGGTAACGGAACTAGTGCCTTTGTCGCTTGGTCCTTTAGGAAAACTAAGACAGTTTCATGTTTCTTTATTATGTCTTTAGCCATTAGTGACATATTGCAAACCGTGATGGTGTTGCCAGCAGAAGTTGGCAACATCGTAGCAGATATGCAATGGGTGTATGGCCCTTCAGCGTGCAAGACTATTCCCATTATTCAAAACACTTCCTCCATGGCTAATGGTTTGACTTTGTGTTGTATAGCAATTGGCAGATACGTTGCCATCACGAAGGCTTTACATTGGAAATCGTTTGAAAGAAAAAATCTATCGGCATTCATTGTCGTCATTATTTGGGTAACATCATTAGCATTAAGTATTCCAGTGGCTTTCATATTTGCTTACCACATTCCTAAGAAACAAAACAGTCAAACATTTGACTTAAATCGGTCGCCGATTCAGATGAAAGCTTTAGCAGAAACTGGACTTTCTCTGTCCTCTGATGACCTTCCCGGGTACTGTACACAAACAGAAGAATACCTGGATGCAGACAGCATCAAGTATTATGCCTTCATTTTCCCAGCAATCATGTTCCTTCCGCTCTTCTTTATTATTATGTTCTTATACACATATCTTTCCTACTTTCTGTGGGTTAGGAAACCAGTAGGAGATTTACAGTCCATGTCTACTCAACAGTATGGTATCCAGCAGCTGAAGAAGAAACGTGTTGTTAAGATTTTGATTTCTCTCATAGTTCTCTTCTTTCTCTGCAGAGCACCAACTAGCTTGTATAATCTGTGGCTAGGAACGATTGTTCAAGAACCCAAAGTCTCGGATTTGGTTGTACGTTATACATTTGTGGTCATGAAACTTCTTAATTGTACTCTCAATCCTATATTTTATTCTTTGCTCCACGACCGCCTCAAAACCCACCTGAAGATGGTTTGTGAACAAATTGTTTATCTTTTTACCTGTGCACCTTGTAAGAAATGCTGGGAAGTGAAAAGAAACGATAATGAATCGAGTACAACTGACACAGTATTGACCTCTTTTACTTGTCGCAGAAATCCTCTTGCAACCAAACAATTTTAACTGTGTTGTAAATATACTTGGTTATGCTGACAAAGCTACAATAACATGTTTACGCATTTTCACTGATTTCTTATCTAAACATTACTGTGTTATATTGTCACGTGAATTCAGGCAAGTAAAAATATGTCGAATATTAATAGGTGTATATTTAGTGTTTAGTGTTGTCTGTCATGCATAGATGGCAAATGTAAAAAAAAAAATAATAATTAATGATATAACTCTTATTATTCCTTAACCACAAGAGTCATTTTATGTATATATATAGTTAAATAAAAGCTTCACTTTCTCCTATGCTTAAATAACAAATTATAAATTTTTCAAAAATATCTTATGCAGAAAGTATTATGTAATTGTGTCTTATTTTCCTGTCTTGTGTATCCAAATGTGAAAACAGCTGTTACTAATAAAATAATTATATACAAGAAAATCAAAACTGTTTCACGGTAAGTCGATGAAAAGTAAATAAAAACAGGGTATTTTCGATCACATGGTCAACTAAATTACTAATTTAAAATTATTAAAGAACTTAAAAGAAAATTACAAAACTATCCCTGAATGAGTAAGGTCTTAGACGTCATAATTTTGATGATGAAGCAACAACATGATCATTATACATAATTATCACATGCTGGGCTGATGATAATAGTTTGTGATTTTTACACAAAAACAGTGAATGATCTTTTGGATTTAGAATAGTTGTTTTGTTAAAGCGTTTTGGTGTCGTTGGTTTGAATAAGACAAATAGAATCTTGGTAGTTCTTTTTATTGTGTAGTGGTTTGCAAATATTTACGGTAAGTCCAGCTGCTTTATGATAAATCAGTTGATGTCTTCCTCATTATGAAATCAGGCCAATATCTGTAGTAAGTAAGGTTGTTAAATATGCTAATATAATATATAGTTGAAGTTTTCAGCTTTAAGTCACCACGAGTATCGAAGTCCAGTATTTAGCGTCATAAGCCCGCAAACTTACCACTGAGCCACTGGGGACGGAGCAGACTTTGAAATGGACGAAAATAGTGCATATATGAATGTTACATACCTCCTAATCTATCATTATTGCTTGTTTCAACAATAAACGCTATATAAACGAAAACGTGTTTAGTTATTTGTATAATGTTTCAGATATTTCGTATCTAAACCTAAAATCAGGTTGTAAATAAACAATATTACTTGCAAGCAATATGCAGTTTGGTTAGGTTTCATATGCAACCTATTACCAAAACTACCATCAGGGACACTTTGAGCTTGGCCCTGGGTCAGAACGCGTTGAGTTTGTTTGTCTTTCTATCTAGCGTAAAGCTACATGAGTGCTATCTGCGTTAGCCGTCCCTAACTTAGCAGTAAAAGGCTAAAGGGAAGGCAGCTAGTCATCACCACCCACCGCCAACTCTTGGGCTACTCTTTTACCAATGAATAGTTGGATTGACCGTCACATTATAACGCCCCCACGGCTGAAAGGGTGAGTGTGTTTGGTGGGACGGGAATTTGTACCTTAGATTGCGACTCAAGCGCCCTAACCACAAGGCCATGCCGGGTCGAAAACGTTCAGTCAGCAAGTAGTATTAATATGACAAGTAGCATGTTCTTATGTGAATATTCACAACTGTCCTGTTAAGCAACTAGACTATTCTATGTTCTGCATCTTGCTGTACTGCACGTCATTTTGTTATTTTTTCTTTATTATCTTAACCTATACAGTTACATAAAGCTGTATGTTATTTGTACTAATGCCTGGTAAAATTTTGATGTGCATCAAGCAGAAGCATCAGAGAAATGATGTGAAATGTAAATCCTCTGAGCTAGGGAATAAAACAATATATGATTGATTTAGCGTTCTAGAAGATCAACTATACCTTCTTAACCTAAAAGTAAAAAGAGAATGCTTTTAAGTAATCTTTCTCAACAACATTTTATACATCAAGAATTTCAGGAAATAACACGTGCCATCCCATGGGTAACAGGATCTAAAAAACGTAAATATACTTCTAAAATGAAATTTTGCAATAGAGACTTTCGTTCAATGGAATATTTTCAAGATGGAAAATGTTGTTCGTATAAGAAACAGTGGAATAAATTACGTTCTCATAAGGCATTGCATATATCACCGTTTAAGTTTTTTATAGGCAATATTACACCAGTCAAATAGATATACTATCAATCTTCCTACAAGTTATATTGAGCGTGAAAAGTTTTTAACTTTACCTGACACTAGCTTTGGACTTTATATTGTTTCCTAATTTTGTGAAATAAATATAATATTTTTCTTTTATCTTCGTGGTGTATAAATTTGACAATGTTTTGATTAATTTACAGATAATATAGCATTTTTGTAGAATTGTCGTTCGTTAATACACAAAGAATAAAGATAGCTACAAAATGGTTCCAGCTAGAAAACAAGTGGATTAAAAACGTTTCCCTTCAAAGAAAAACGCGCGCTGTAACTTCCTGTACTTTTCTAGGCAATTCCTTGAAAACAAATGGAAAGTTATTCTGAGTATATCCTGTTTTAAACTAATGACAGAAAACAAGATATTTGAATTTTGATTTCCACATCCGATGCATTTCAAGCAAACTTTTAAACCATTTGGAACCATTTTTAGGCTAACTGTTTTATAATAAGAAAAAAAAAGTATTAAACTTGATAAATAAGTGGTCTCAGTGAACACTCTCCAGGTTTTATCCGTTTCATTTTAATTTCAAAAAAATTTCGGTCCCTTTGATGGGTCAGTTTTTATGTTTACCTCTCGAAGTCTCACTACTTACCCTTTGGTAAGGAAATAAAACTCTGCATTGGATATAATAACGATCTAAAACTAAACGGATAATTTTCAAATGTTCTTATTAACCTAACTTTCTGTCTCATTTGTTATAAAATAGATTAGTTAATGAAATGGTATAACTGAAATTTTATCATATAATTTTGTATATTGCCTTCCTGCAATTTAAATCTTAGTTTCTAGTCATTATGCAAAATTTTCTGTTTAATCGGTGTTGTACACTGAAAAACGTTTCAGTGTTAACAATTTTGCTTGGCATCTTGAGCTTTCAAATATTGTATTAAATTAGTAAAACAAACTGCCAAACAATAAACATTACTGTGTTATATTGTTACGTGAATTCAGGCAAGTAAAAATACGTCGAATATTAATAGGTGTATATTTAGCGTTGTCTGTCATGCATAGATGGCAAATGTACAGCAGACATGGAACCAAACGTTTGTGAAATAAGAAGCAAATTTAACACACACACACACACACATAGAGAGAAATATGTAGTTAAGGATTATATCCTGTTCTAAGAACCCATGAGTAAAATCAAAGATAAGTATATTTTAACATGTCATCCACACTACAGCTACCATATACTCTGTCGAGAATGCCTTTTGTCCAAAATCAGGATTCATCAAGATAGCTGGAGTACAGCAGACATGGCAATGGTCTAAGCACTATATATATCATCGATTTTTACGAACAACTATTAATGTGTGAAGTAGATTAAGCAAATGAATTGTAGTTATTTTTATCAGCTTATTAAAATTAGTTACATATCATATCTTTAGCTTGAGAATTAAGAGCATAACATTGTTTATTCTATTTTGATATTTTAACATTGATTATTAAATTAGTTATTTATTATTATTATTATTAATCTACTTTGCCATCGTTCACAAGAACTGGCGAACCAGAAAGATAATATTCTTGTACCTGGGTCCTCCAGTGGATCAGTGGCAAGTTTACGGATTTAGAACTCTCAAATCCGAAGTTTGATTTCCTGTGGTGAACAGAGCGCATATATCTATTGTGTAACTTTGCGTAACACAAATAAACAAACAGTTCTTGTTACCAGAGCGGGTCCAACAACAACGTCAACAGAGGAACCTACATTAGTAATTCTAAGAAGCCACTTGATGATTCATTGATAAAGCTGTTGGTTTTGATACTCGCGATGGACAGAACACAGGTAATTTATTGTGTAGCTTTGTGCTTAAAATCAAACAGAAAACAAAATTGAGTGAAAGTAAATTAAAATAAGTTATAGTATGTCAACCACACTACATTTTATATATACGGTGCCGACGAGGTCTTTTTGCCAAAACAAAGTCTCATCAGGTTGGCTGGGATATGACAGATATAATAGTGGTCTAAGCGCTATATAGATATATCATACATTTTTATGAACAATAACTAATATTGTGTGAACCAGTTTAAGCAAATCAACTGTAATAAATATAAATTTATTTAAGTTATTTACAAATCATATTTAGATTTAAAAATTATGTATTTTATTTTAACTTTCTAACATTGTTTATTTATTCATTCATTTTTTTTTATGATTATGTTTTGAGTCTAAAAGATTAAGGGCGCGAGTTGGTCCTATGGTAGAGCTCTGGACATCGGAGTTGGTTATTCGGTCTCGAATCCATGTAATACCACAAAATATCTTTCACACTTAAACTGTGGGTGTATTATAAGAGTAGCAGTCAATCCTTTAGCGCGAATTGTAAATGGTAATTCAAAATTAGTGATGACGACAGATAACCTCAATAGCTTTGCCATAAATATAAATACAAATATTAAAAGATTCAAAAGTTTGAAATAATGCATATAAACATATAGCGTTTACAAAATTACTAATACATCTCCTATTTTACAACAGTGATGGATATAAGTCGATACAGAATTACAAAATATTTTATAATAATTTCTTTTCAGTAAACTTATATACGTTCACTTCTTAAGAAGATTTGGCATTGAATATATGTGACTCTTTTATTATGCATGATATTATTCTATAAAAATAGGAAATATTATAAGACATTCATAATTAGTTTCTTTATATTAAATTACACTACATTTTATCAAAGGTATTTTCAACTGTGATTCGGCTGTACGTTTCTGTGTGATTGTCAAAGGAATTAATGCCATGTTTATTGGAACTTGTTTCCAATATTGGCTTTGAGCTTTATTTGGGCCAATTACATAATATCTAACTATGAAGT